TCTAGATCAGCCATGTGGCCATGATAGTTTTCTCACAAGTGATATTCTCTAGTTTAAAGGATAATTATGTTGGGCTACAGATTTGCTATTTCCAAGGATGACTTGGAGTTCATCACTCATCACTTGATTTGAGACGTGTGTGCATTTTAACACAGGTTTATTAAAGAGAATGCACTGTTGGAAAGGCCTGTGTTAACACCACAGGAAGGGCTCTTCTGTGCAAATGCCCAGGCCTGGACACACAGTGCTCAATAAATATGTGTTACCATTAAACTGTCTGTTTCTAAAACCAGACAAGCAATTATATCTCTAGTGTTACACAAGAAAAGAAGATAGCATTGTAAATAGTACACAGTCCACTGAAAGGTTTACAATCTGGTTATTTTGGCATTTAATTTTTCTGTCTGTTCAAACTTTTTCCACACTATCTGAGTAAGAGTTGTAAGAAGTTGGTGACTATCTGTAAATTTTAAATTGTGAGATAAAGAAAAAGAACAAATTTTTCCGGTTCCTTAAGTACCAGTGTTAACAAATTCCTTTTGCACTTGTGGTAACTTCACTGCTTGATAAAACTTGACCCACCCAACATCAACTTTATTTACCTTCACACATTTGGAGATCAGAGGTTGTACATCCTCAGCCCGCCGCTGTGGACACCATACCCTCTGCAGACAGATGACATGGCCAGTAGTCTGCATTTCACACTTGCAAATGAAGCTGCAAAGGCCTTCCCAGCCCTGCCTGCCCACACTCACCAGGGTCAGATGCAGGGGCCCAGTCTGCTTGTGCACAGGACAGGAGGAGAGCTGCAACTTCCCCCTGAGGCTCTGGCTTCTGCCCCTCAGCGTCCTGGAGCCTCTGCTTCTGGGCCACCTTTGCTGCCCTCCTTCTGGGGCAGAGACCTGGGCGGCTCCCAAAGAGGAAGGGAAGTAGCCTGCCAGGCAGAGGACATGGGGGTGGGGGAGGGGCGCCGTGGTGGGAGGGGCCCTATGGGGCCCTGGGATTGGTGCACCCCAGCTCAGGGCGAGCTTCCAGAGATCTGGGCCATCTGCAGGGTGCCAGGAGTCAGGCCCACACCAGTGCAGGAGGATAAGAAATCAGCATCCAGAATCCAGAAGACACAAAACGAAAGTAACTGTTTCTGGAGAGCAGGGGAGGAGGGGGGCGGGGCGTGTTTAGCAGATGGGGGAAAAGAAGCAGGAGGCGAATATCTGCTTAACACAGAAAGGGACAAACACGGGGTCAGGACAGCCCAGGATATGGCTTGTTAAGCGCCCAGGTTGTCAATGTAAATTGATTTATAGTTTCATTTTATATCTCAAGAAACCAATTGAGAAATAGTTCACTGTTCACGACTGTAATCCCTGTAACCCTGAGATTGAGGCAGGAAGATTTGGGGTTTAGGTGCCTGAGCTAAATATTGAACTCCATCCCTAAAGAATAAGAAGAGGAGGGGGACTAAGTGTAGACTGTGACCCTGCAGTCAGATGGTGCAGTGTGTGCAGTACAGGACACTTCCTAGACCACAAAGTTCAATGTTGAAAACAAGTCAGGTTCATACTCCAATAGTCTCCCTAACATTCCAGCATGAATAGGGGAGGGTCACACGAGCCTCCCCCTCCAGCTGAGGAGCTATGGACAGTTGATGACTGCCAGGAGAGGGAAAGTCGGTTTTCTTCGGGAGTGTGGTCCTTGGTGTGTTGACTATCCAGGGGATGATTCTACTCCATGTGTACATGGGCAGCACTGACTGGACTCGGTGGTCACTGAAGAAGGGGAGAGAAAGGAATGGGGAGGGAGGGAGGGAGGGAGGGAAAGGGAGGATGGGGAAGAAGTTGTTGGGAGGGGGAGTTTGGAGGGAATTCTGTTGTAAGGTAGCAATAGAGGGTGAGTGAGGCTGAGTATGATTAAAATACATCAGATTTATGAAGTTCTCAATTGTTAAAGAATAAAGTTGTTAATAAAGTTAACTTTTATCAGAGTACAAGATACACAGAGAAAGTGCAGGCTGGGCAGTAGTCTGACTCTCCAAGCCTGAGGACCTGAGTTCAAATCCCCAGCCTCAGGTGAAAAGCCTGATAGTGGGAGGGGGAGCCAGGGGGATCCCTGGGGCCTGCTGACCAGTCATCCTGGCTAAATCAGAAATCCCTGGTTCATTCCTCAGGTTCAGTGTGAGAGTGAGGATAACACTATTGTTGACCTCCACAGGGATGCACACCCATTTATAGCCACACATGCACATACATACAAAATCACAGAAAATCTGACTAGACAGCTTGAGGTATAGTTACAATGTGACATATTTGTATTTGTGAAACTCAAATTTTTTATAGAACATCTTGAGTACTTCAGAAGGAGGAATAGGAACACACGTCTATAATCTCAGGACTCACACTGAGGCCCAAGGTTTGCAAGTTGAAGGACAGCCTGTGCTACATAGAGGTTGCTGGCCAGCCTGGGCTACAGAGTGAAACTGCTTCTGCCTTCTACCTTGAAAACAAAAGAGCAGAAAGAAGAGGGAAGAGGGAGGAATGGAGAAGGACAGAGGTGGGGGAGAGGAGGGGGAGGGGAGAGAGCAGCAGTGAGACACACAGGAAAGACAGAGGACCACAGGGCTTCCCTCAAGCTTCATCATGGCCGCCCTTTCCAAAGGTCACTGTGTTCTTCCTTCTGTGCGTTTGTTGTCTACTTCTAGTTAGTTTTTACTTCTGTTGTGTAGTAGTGCTGGTCCCTAACCCAGGGCTCCAGGCCTGCCCCAGGGATGCCAGAGTCACATCCCTAACTCCGAGGATTTAATAACTGTGTAATCAAATTTCTAGTTGGTTTTCTTCATCCCCTAATCCTAACCTGACCTTACTCTAAACCCAAGTGGATCTGGGACACCGGCCATACACTTCTGTGGCACCTCGAGCCTCCTGGACCAACAACTCATAAGGAGTTGTGAGAATTTTTTGTTTAAGAATCCATGACTCTGGAAGGAGCATTATCCACTCATACAGGTCACCACCCCTCAAACTCAGTTTTTAAATTATTTTTGTTTAATTGGGTTACAAAACTGTAGATTTCCACATGGCTTTTTCATACAGATCCAGTTTCAGATGAACTACCTTCCACCCCACCACCTCCTTCTTCCTCCCTTACCCCCAGATAAACCTTCCTCTGCCAGAGTTCCCTCTCTATTTTCATATAACACCCATTTTAGTATCCTCCCTAGTAGTGACCCTTTTCACACATCCTGGCCTCTATAGGCATCCAAAGTAAACACAGAAATCTAAAAATTTCAAAGTAAGACCAACTTTTGTGAGTGAAATTTGTTTTCACAAGCTTGGATTACCTCACTCTACATAGTATTTTCTAGTTCCATCCATCTTCCTACAAATTTCATTTTCTTTACAACTAAATACAATTCTATCGCACACTAGTACTGAAGTGACTAAGGCAAAGCCGTCCTGTCCTGACTCCATTTTGATCTCCTCAGACTCTTCTCAGCCCTCTACCCCCAACAGTGATGACTGCCTTGGAAACACATTTGGGATTCCCATGACCACCGTGGTCCAGATTTATTAACCAAAGTAATTAGTGATATATGAACTTGAACTAAAATAACCAAAGAAGGTATAAGTCAAAATTAATTGTCATGTTGTATTTGAAATATCCATGTTCTGTCAAAACAAATGATGCAAGTGTATTTTCTCTCTCATTCAGCATCAGTGAAATTGTAGGTTTTGCATTTAAAATGCTGTACTTCTGACCTTCTGCACTAGGAGACTTTGAGGCATGAGCCTACTCTTGGTCAATGGCCAAAACTAAAGGACTTTTATAAACTTAATTGTCTATATTAGTGTGGTGATCTCTATCTTCCTCACATGGATTATTATAGTGCTACATTTCCATTAAGTTCATCACCCGTGCCATCTTAGCACTGGACATCTAGGAATTTTCATTTCCTCTATTATGTCTAGAGTAGCAATGAACACAGATGGGCAAGTGTCTCTGTAAGGGGAAACAGAGTCCTTTGGATATATGTAGTGGGAGAAAATCCTCACCAGCTACCACCTTGACAGAGAAATAATAGCCAGAATACAGAAGAACCTGAAAACATCAAGTAAGCATGTGATACAAGAGGTTATGGAAATAAACAGAGAGTTCTCAACAGAAGAAACACAATAAAAAGAAAGAAAGACAAGAAAAAAGAAACAAAACCCAATGGATGATAAATATTTTTAGAAGTGCTCAAATCCTTACCCATTGGGGACTTGTAAATTAAATGATTTAAGGTCTATCTCACTCCAATCAAAATGGATATCATTGAGAAGACAAATGGCAACAAATGATGGTGGGGATGTGAGGGAGGGAAAGCCCTTCCTCTCTGTTGGTGGCTGTGTAAACCAATACAGGTGCTGTTGAAATCAGGGAGGAAATTTCTCAGGGACTAAAAATAGAACTACCATATAAGTGAGTATATCCTGGTTTCCAATTTTATTCCAATGATTTGCATATCTATATCTGTGCCAGTACTGTACCATTTCTAATACTATGGCTCTGTTGTATATCTTGAAATCAAGCATGACAATACCTCTAGCATAATTCTAATATTTTTTTCTATTTCTGTGAAGAATGGTGGAATTTAGGTGGAGATTATATTGCACCCATTGACTTTTTTTCTGGAACAGCGATTTTTACAACAGCACTTTTTTATACACTAAGCATAATGGCACACACCTTTAATCCCAGCACTGTGGAGGCAGAGAGAGATGGATGTCTATACAAATTCAATTATGTACCTGTTACTATATAAAGTCCTGAAGATTTTAGAGAAGATGCTATATATTCTCAAGTATCTTACTGTGTAGATAGTGCTAAGACCTAAGATGATTAGCTAATGAGTAACTATTATATCAGTTACTTTTGCTTCAAAATGGGCCATTAAACCTAGTGGCTTAAGGTAACAGTTATTTCCTTGTCTAGCAATTCTGAGATGAGGGTGTCAGTGGGGTGATTTTTCTGCTGGTTTGGCTCAGGCATATAGCTGCAATTTGGTGATGGGTTAGCATGCTCTCTCTCCTGATTGTAACATGAATCTTAAAAGGTCTTATTAATAAAAACAAACCAGGTGCCAGTTATTGGGGTGAACACTGAAAAATCAGAGAAGTAGAACAAGCCACATCCAGCCTCACCTTGCCAAGTTCTCAGCTGATCTTGTTTTCTCAGACTAAAAGCCTCTGAGTTCTTATCCGAATGGATCTCAGCTGTACTGCTGCTCAAAATCATAAACCTTAACCATAAGGCTCTAGTTCCTGGTCCTCATGCTTTATATACCTTTCTGCTTCCTGCCATCACTTCCTGGGATTAAAGGTGTGAGTCACCGTGCCTGGCTGTTTCCAGCATGGTTAGAACTCACAGAGATTCAGACAGATCTCTGCCTCCTGAATGCTAGGATTAAAGGCGTGTGCTACCACTGCCTAAACCTATGTTTAGTATAGTGACTGTTCTGTTCTCTGACATCAGATAAGTTTATTAGGGTGCACAATATATTGGGGGACATAATATCACCATACCTGATTTTACTTTTTTGTAGGATATTGAGTCACTTCCCCCCTTTTATTTGTGGCTACATTAACTGACTTATAATTCACCATGGACTATCATCCCTACTTCTTATAGAATGCTAACTCCATCTGAGAATGAAGAAGGAATCTATTTGGCATCCAGCACCAGGTTTTTCCATATCCATGTTGAGTTAATAATATCAACTATGATTGAAACACTGTGGGTTGAGCACTTAGGAGTAACCAATCACTTTTCACTGGATGTAACACCTACTCCATGAGATGGAACCCACACATGACACTACTGAAGTGACCAAGAACCTGACTTATTTTGCCATGGCCCTGGGGGAAAATACTAACCAGATACTAACACTCTGCCAAAGGAACCTAGCAATAAAATGGTTCCTTATGACATACTGCAATACCCATGGTTCAGGGCTTTGTTCAGTCCGTATAAGAGAAGCTTTCTCCTACAGTAGATGGAAACTGACACAGAGTCCCACAACTGGACAATGTGCAGAGTGAGAGACTTTGGAACCCTCAGTACTACATGGATGTCTTCATCAAACCCCTCACCTCGGGGTTCAGGGAGCTATGTGGAAGAGGAAGCGGGAAAAGTGTAAGACCCAGAGATGATGGATGACCCCAAGGACACAGTATCCTCCAGACACAGCAGGAGTGACACACAGAAAAACTCACAGAGACCATGGCAGCACTAACAAGGCCTGCACAGGTTCAAGCCAGACAGGGTCACAGTACTGAGAGGGGGCAGTGGACACTGGTCCCCACCCCCACC